TTAGTAATATATACATATAGTTTATATATATATAAATATATATATATATATATATATATATATATATATATATATATATATATATATATATATATATATATATATATATTTTGTTGAAAAAAGAAAGCTTGTCTTTTATGCTACTTTTTGTTGAGATTAGCGCATAACTTGATGAAAGAAAATACTATATTATATAAATAAAATTATATGGCATAAATAATGAACAATGAAATCATAACTCATGCATCAAAATATTGTTAATAAAGTCTTATAAAATATAGACATAAATTTTTAGTACCTCCATAAGTTTATGTTTCTTTCAAGAAAATAATAGACAATTGGTTTCTTTTGTTTTTATAACAATAACTTAAAAGTAACATAAGTTACTTTTAACTTATTTTTTATAAAAACAGTTAAATCTTTGAATACTAAGTCGATACAAATAGGTATTATGGCTTCAGTAATGTATCAAAACAAAATATTTTTTGTTGTTAGCACAGCACAGAATGACATATATTGCATAAGTTATTTCAGCTGCTTTTAAAAATAACATATTGTTCATAAATATACCAACACAAATGTATTAAATTGTAATTAGGTTCACAAATCATGTCAAACAAACGCTACAAGATATCTTTGTAATAACATTGACATATCTCCAGCAAAACGATCAGAGACGCTTCGGTTACTTATAATATTTTGCCATTATTAATTATTTGTTTGCATAAATTAAATACCGATAAAGATAAAGTTCTTAGGATTGAACTAACAACCAATCAGATTTGATTAAAATTATCGGCTTTTTTTTTTACGAGTCTGTTTGTTCTATGCCTTAGTTGCATTGAGTAGAGTAAAATGTTTTTTAAAAAAAATGTTTTATTTCACAATAGTTGCAGAACAATTAGGAAAAAATGTTATACATCTTGTGAATCGTCTTTTACGCGCCCACCACCACCATTCGATCTGTCGAGTGCGTATTTTAATAAAGTCATTATTCCTTTTCTTATTTCGGCAACTGTAGTAGTCGCTTGAATTGACATGTTGCTTTCTATAAAAAAAGGTATTGTCTGAGTAATTTGCATAAAACACATAAAAAAAAAAAAAAAAACAGCATCAAAGCAACGAATTCTGATTTTAAAAATATATAGTTTTATCATGGCCTACTTTATAGAAGGCCTCGACACCGTGCGGGAATTTTTTCGATTTAAAAATAAAATGGCGGTTTATTAAAAGAGAAAAATGCTGTACAGCTTTGCTAACACTAATTATTTAATAACTAATTATTCTATTTGAAAAAATTTTGAATGCATTTTTATAAAATGAGTTTCTTGACGTTAATTTAACAACTATTTTATAAGCTTAAATAGTTTGTAAAGTTGAATAGAAACATTTAAAATCAAATTTTTGAATATACAAGAAATAATAAATAATCAGAAAAATACACCAATAACAAATCTAATTTTTTTTGTACTAAATCTTCCCAAAAAAAAATTACATAAGCTTGATTTCTTTTAGTTTTGCTTCTTTATTACTTTTGGGAGTGTGAAGTAATGCAAAGTTCTTTAAAAAAATGTTTGCTAGTGTTTGGCATTGTTTCTTTGCAATAGAAAAACTATACAACTCTGCAATAAAAGCAAACTGTCATATCAGAAATGTTCTGCAAACTTTTTTATCTAATAAAGAAAAAAATATGTAACAAAATAAAGACCACTGAGATAGAATATCAGATGGAATAGTTAATCCTCCCCTATTTAAAGTATTCAAATAAGTTCCATATTTTTCATAATATGTAGTTGTATCTTCACCAATTTCTTCAGTAGAACACTTTTGAACATAACCAGCAATATAGACAATAGCATAAAAAATTTCTATATTTATACTATCTTCTAGATCTGGTAAATTGTAAATTATATCAATTTCCATTTCATCTAAATCTTTAAGACATAAAAGACAGTCATGGCCATCATTTCCTTCTACTTCTATATTCAGCTGTAGCACCAGCTTAGCATGTTGAATGCGTACTTTTTCGATAACTGAGTTAGCAGTTATAAAGTAAGTACCACCAGAACCTTGCCGTATTTTTCCGAAACATTTCTCAAGTGGATCACTAGAAAACCAACCTAAAATAACATACTCATTTCCACTTGATAAAAGATGACAAGACAAATCAATTAGTCCACGACAAGTGTGTGAAAGTGCATTGCTTGTATCTCTCGTAAGCTGGCGAATTCGTTTACCAGATGTTGGTTTCATATATTCTGCCATTGTTGCAATAGCAAGTAACTTAAGTTAATGTCATCTGAAGATCTGATTACATTACGTGACTCATCCCTAAATCTAGCATTGGCACCTGGGCATTTAACATTCACTATTTTCCAAAATTCTATAATCAACTCCAAAAAAATAATAGTACCCTTGACACTTTCTTAGTCTATTTTAGGATGAGTTTTTAGAGCTGCAACTGTCTCTTCACTAAATACTTGTAAACAAGTGCTTACTTTTTGACGTTCTATTGGTTTAGGATTTATTGATGTTTCAGTCAATCTGGATAACTTTATTAATTGGTTTTTTTCAAGTGTATATAAGTTAACTAAATCTCTCCAATTTGCAATGAAAGTTATCTCATTTTGAGTAAACTGTAACTGACCTAGTTTTTCTGTCATCCAATTGTTTCATATGCACTTTAAAAGATGGACATAGTCATATAAAATATAAGAGCCATTTTGACATAACCAAGGTTTTCCGTCTACGGTTTTGAATTTAGAAAAAAAGCTTTGATTAACTTTATTTCTATCTGTAATAATTGCAATAACTTTACCATTACTCATAGAACTTTCTATGGCGTCTACAATTAATTTGCACTGTTCTTGTTGGAAATCTGATCTCAGATTACTAACTGATAAAACTCTTGCTAGAAATTCAGGACCACCATAAAGGCTTTTTACCATGAATGAAAGTACAGTAGTAGCTAATTTCTCTGGATTATTAACAGCTTTTCCAAAAATACTTCCACTTTGATATAATAATGCTGCTTTTACATAAACTTCATCTATCAATAAAACACAATTTCTTTTTTTTTTCATCAAGGTTAGATAACACAGAACTTAAAAAAGTTAAATCATCTTGAGAGTTTATTTTTGAAGTTATGCGTGTCAAAGTTTGAATACTTGGCAACTGATAATCATAACATAATCGATGGTAAGTAGAACGACTTGTTGCAAAATATTCAAAAGCTCTGGTTATTATATCTGGAGAATACACAGCACAGCCAAGAGTATGATCTCCCATTACATTTAAATGCTCAAACATTACTTGAGTTTCATGATCCTTATTTTCAACTTTCAGATATCTAAGGGCTTCATTTAAAGATGACTTTGTACAAAGGGAAGTGATTCTGTTATTTGCCAGAGATTTAATAGTACATTTTGAACCAAAATAAAATGCTTCGAACGACAAACTTTGATTAATTATTAGCAAAAATAGTGGAACACCACAACTAAATATTTTAGATTGGATGAGAATTGAATTATTTTGCTTGTATGAAATCAAATCATTATAAGTTGATAAGTGTTTTTCGATTTCTTCAAAATTTAAATTATCAATTATTTTTATATTCTTCTAATTCATCTTTTCTGATACCTCTTTTTGAAGAAGAAGATAAAGTCTTTCTCGTTTTAGGTGGTGGAGAGGATAGACAACTTTTAGATATATTTGGAAACACTGATGGAGGATGAATCGGTCTCAATTTACCATGACATAATTTAAACTCTGCATCATCTGGCCAATGCAATTTACAAACAACAATGTATTTTGTTACGGTCCCATTTAAACAAGGGATGCTCATAAACCATTTAGTTTTTTCACATACTTCACGAGGGAATTTATACACAGATACAAGCTGAAGACTTATAATTTGAGGAACAGTTTGGAACATTTTAAAGGCATTCTAAATAATTTAAATTAAATTTACTTTAAATAGCTGTAAATTTTTCTGAAAAAACGTAACTAATATTTTACTCCTTTTCCAACCAAAAAATGCGTTTGTAACAGTTTTAAATCGGCCTTCAGTCAAAAAAATTCCCGCATGGTGTCGAGGCCTTCTATAAAGTAGGCCATGAGTTTTACACTTGACTTACCAGTACCAACCTTACAAATGTTTGTTCCTTTAAACTTTTCTTTATTCTTTATTCTTTTCATTTTCTTTATTCAACCATATTAAATTTTGATTATAAACCATTGGTCAACAACCTATATTAAACATTGTTATTATTATAATAGTTATATTAAAAATTGATATATATATATATATATATATATATATATATATATATATATATATATTTATATATATGTATATATATATATATATATATATATATATATATATATATATATATATATATATATATATATTTATATATATGTATATATATATATATATATATATATATATATTTATATATATATATATATATTTTTTATTTATTTATTTATTTTGATTTATACTTTATTTTGTTTATTATATAGACTGTGAAGAATATTAGAATACTGTATTCTTTTTGTTATATAGATTGTAGATTGTAAAGGGCTTCATGATAAGATCCTGTGATCTTCTAGAAGTCCTGCCGGTAATATATTCAATGTAAATTTACTTTGTACATATTCTGGCAAATAAAAAAAATAAAAAATAAAAAATATATATATTTATATTTATATACACATATGTATATAAATGTATGTATATATACATACATATACATGTATGTTTATTTATGTGCATATATATGTATGTATATATATAGAGTGAAAAAAAGGTTAAGTATGCGTTACAAAACAGCTTTTGTACTTTAAAGTTGTTCTTTAACTCAAGGAAATACAAAAAAAAATCAAAAAAAAATCAAAAAAAAATTCTAATTAGACATAAAAAAAAAAAAAGATTTATTTTATGTCTGATTAGAATTCGTCAAACTTTTAGAAATACTAAGCTAAACATATTTTTATCACAAGTTATAATAACTAGATTCAAAAGATTTTTTATTCAAAACCTTTTACTAACCTTTGCATCACATTTTTTGTAATTGTCTTATCTCTTATTTTAGAAAATTTGTTAACCTAAATGTTTAAGAAAATAATTACATCACAATATTTTTATAGTACATTTACAAAAAGTTACAAATAGATTAACTTAAGCAAATACATAATCGATAAAAAAACATTTAAAAAGTGAAAAATGTAATGGTTTAAAAATGCAAAAAGTAATGGTTTAAAAAAACCTACCATTTCAGACATTACCCGTTTAAACTGTTATCATAATCTCTAAAGGGTTAAGAAAACAATTACATTACATTATTTTTGTAGTACATTTATAATAAGTTACAAGTAGATTAACTTAAGCAAATACATAATCCCAAAAAAACAATAAAAAAGCTGCAAAAAGTCATGGTTTGAAATAACTTACCTTCAGATTTCACTCGAAAATCATTTAAACTGTTATCATAATCACTAAATGACTGCTGCAAATTTATCCATCAAATTTCAGGAATAATTGTCATGATATTATTTTAACTACTGGAAAGAGCTTTACTAACACCTTTTTCATTTCTAACACTGCATATATAACTTTCTTCTGAATTTCTATTCTATATTCTAAAATAATAAAGATATTACAAGAACACAAAAGAACCAAACATTAATTAATTTCTAAAAGCATCGAAACACAAAAACAAAACATACTGTATCAAAATATCTATTTATTAAACAAACAAAATTATTGGATATTCAAAAAATATATTTCTTCTAATGTCTTAAAAAAATTACTTGCTTTTTTTACTAATTAATAAAATGAATGCATACCAAAATAAATGCCAAATAATTCACATACCTTACTCAGTAATGGGAGACTTTCCATTCGATGAGGAATCTTTTTTAGTAACTTTTCTTATAAGGGAAATTAATGCAGGTGTCTCTGGCAAAACAACTTTTTTCTTTTCTGCGGAAAAACACATGCGCCATCTTGGCTTTGCACTATATTGAAATCATCTCTTTCCTCAGGAAAATCTTGCTATTGCTGATCTAAATATCTTTAAGATAAAAAAGTAAATCAATCAATGTAAAAAAAATAATCAACACTAGAATACTAGAAATAAAATAGCTTTCACTAAATGCTAATATGAAAATAAATGTCATAACAATGAAATAAAATGTCATAACAAACAAATAAAAGTCAACAATAAAAAAATAATTTTAAAACACATATAAAATAAATAAAATATATTAATTAACAACAAATAAAATGTGTAAACTACTGAAGCATTGAAAAAAACATTTAGAATCTTTTCTTCCTAAGACAACTTGCAGACAGACAATTAATACCTTGAGCTACAGTATGCGGAGTATGCATAAAAGTTGTTTTCTTTTTCTTTTTTTGCGTTAAAGGAGTAGGTACTTGCTTACTATTCTGTTAGTTATTTTTGGTTGGATTATGTTTTCTCTTGCATAAGAATGGTAGTGGTTCCTATAATGAATAATATCAAAATAAAACTAGTAATACTTGAATAAATTTTTAACTTAAGTTTAAATCTTTTAAAATAGTTTTATCTGAGTATCACTAGTAGTGGCAAATTCAAAATTATCACATAACTCATGATCTAAGAATAATCAATCAATTTAAAACTATGTTTTAAATATATTATATAATAAAAAATATATCTTAAGCACTAAAAACAACATATACAGAAATAGAAGAAAGGAAAAAAAGTAATGACTTGATGTTTATAAACAAAATTATATTATCTCCACAACATTTAATTTTGAGCAGCTTAAATCTTTATTAGTTAGACTGCGGTTCATGCATTTCATTGAAACAATTTATTACATTCAATGATGATGGCTAACACAAAAAATTATCAATCGTATTTTCTCTCTCTATTTCTCTCTATTTTCTATCCAAACAGCTTGAATGTACATTTTGCTTGCCCTACTATACTTTATAAACTGGAAAAGTTTATTTTTAAAAACAACACTTTTTATTCTAATACATAAAATATTTGTTAGTGTGAATTAACTAACAGAAAATTATAACTTTAACTTATACATTATATAGCTGCCTGGTGAAAATTATATTGAAATTAAAATGTTAAAATGTTTTACCTGTGGGCCTGGGAAAATACGTCTTTTAAACGTCTTATACATGTTTTGGACGTTTTATGAACGTCTTTCGAACGTTTTGGACGTCTTGTGAACGTTCAAAAGACGTCTTTTTTAGGTCCGGTGCCCACTGGACATGATGCACACGCACTGGATATTTTTAAAAGAACCAGATAATCAATACATTTTCCCGAGTCACTATCAAATAACAGTGACAACACCATTTAGTGAGAAATGACTCCCTTCTGCCAAGTTTCATCACAGGAAACAACAATATCAGCTACTGCATTAATTTAAAAATCATTTTCTTGTATACTGATGTTAAAATATCGAAATTCATTTGCGGCATGCGGCATTTTTAATTTTCACATCAGCTACTCTTTGATATATGATACTTATTTTACCTTGAGTATCATTAAATGGTTTTATGTTTGTTGGAGGAGGTAAGTTCATTAGACGCAAAACTTTTCTAAACCAGAATGAATTTTTCTTATCTCTCTCTCATGGCAACGACATATCTAAAATTTATTTCAAATGGTTACATTCCAGGACCTTGCTTTTCAATCTCTTTGCCGAATTTAAAAGACTGCTTCCAATTGCACGAAGATGTTGTACAAGAAATAGTTAAAAACACAGCCAATCCTTTTTTTTTTTTCTTTGATAAACCAGTTGAGATTTCAATTGAATTATTATAACATTGTGTCCAAACAAAGTAACATCTTATTTTTAGTCAAACCATTTGTATTGCAGACCGTTGATGCTGAGGAAAACTGATTTCCTCTAAAGTATATAGTTTTAAATATTCTGTTACCACCTGCTTTTTTTCTTTAATTTAAATCATATTCATTTTTTTTATAATAAAAAAAGCGTGAGACAAATAAAGTAAAACACAAGACTTATAGTTTTCTATTAGTAATATATGTAAACATATATTACTTATATTTACATATATTATGTATTTAGTTATGGCAAACCAGTGTAAAAAAAAAAAAAACCACATCAAGAATATATGGGAAACACTCTAAAACATCTATTTTTTAATATAAACGATCCGTTGCTAAGGCTGCTGCTTAAGAAAAATTTTAATTTCATTATAAAACTATTTTAGAGCATTTATAAAATCATTTGCTATAATTGGAATATTATAGCAAATGATTTTAAATATTTAGAATGTAGAATGCTTGGGTTTCAAGATTTTTGAGAAAAAAACATATTCCTCTTAGAGCTGACATTAATAAATCAAACTTAAAATTTAAATTGTTATATAAATTGCCTGTAAGACAAAGCATCCATCAGATTTATTGGCTTAGATATTAAAGTTTTCAGGGGATATGGTCAGTGAGTGAATATCGCTCACTGAATATAAATGTAAAATCCCAAGAAAAGTTATAAAGATAAATTAAAAGGGGGTGGGGTTACAGATTAGAAGGCAATTTCTATCGAGGAGTAAATTTGCTGACCAGATAATAAAGGTTTTAGAAAGAGCTATTTCCATTTAAATAAAAAGCAAAGTATTTATCAATAATATGCAACTTGGTTTTAAATCACGAAAGAAAGCAACAAATGCAAAGTATTTATCAATAATATGTAACTTGGTTTTAAATCACGAAAAAAAGCAACAAATGCAATATTTATCATAAGACAAATTTAATAAAGTTTTTGAAACCAAAAACAATATAAATGGTATTTGCAGGCCTAAAGAAAGCTTTTGACAGAATACCAAGAGATGTTAGTGACAGGGCCGTGAGATCGGCCCTGAGTGAAGTTGCTTTTGAGATATTTAGGTGTTAAAAAACGGCTAATAACACATAATATGACTTTGTTAAAAAAATGTCGTCGCAGCAACAAAAAAAAAATATGGAGGAGATAAGATAGATTGTTTATTTGAATTATTTATAATATTATTTAAAAGAAATTTAAGCAGCCGAAATGTCTGATATGAAAGGGTATTTTTACTCATGATTATCGTGAATTTATTAGATATAAATAATTTCAATTTACTTATGGCTACAAATCATAAATTAACTTTGCCTACGGTTTCCTAAGCACTGGACCGTCCCGAACCGGGGGTGTAGGAGTGTCCCAACCCCCAAAGTTGTTATATAAGCATTTGATTTTGGCACATTTAGTATTTGAGTTTGGATGTTTTGAACTATAGTTGGCAAATTTCAAATAATTCAAGCGATTGATATATTTTTTTTATAGGAAGCAATAGATTATGTTACAGGTTTTTACAAATAATAAAAAAAAACTTATTTCATATCTACTATATCGTATATAGATAAGCAATTTCTTTTTAGTTTTACTTATTTTTATAGCATGTGGCTTTTTTCAAAAAGAGAAGAAAAAACAAAGAATAATGTAAGAAAAGATTACTGCCCCATCCTTAACACTTCGTAGATTTTTTTTTCTTTTTTGTACAAATGCTTCTATATACAGATTGATTTTTTTAATTTAATACGGTCTTTTATCTCTTGTATAAATCTATACTTTATTACAGGGTTTATATACATTCATTAGAAAATTCCTTCGTTCGGATTAATGTCCAACGGAAATACAGTGTTGCAATCATTAATGATCTTCTAATTAGAATTAAACAAATCGTTAATAATTATAAAAAAAGGGAATCGTTGAAATAATGAAATCGTTAATAATTTTCCAAAACTTTTGTAAAGCTGAACTGTTTAATTTATTGAAATGTCTATTGAACTTGCTTCACTAAATCAAATATATTATATAATTTAGCATCTAAAGTGGAGAAATCAAGAATAATCAAAGATTCAGGTTTTATGCAGTTCGGACCACATAGAATCAAGTTTGTTTGAGGTACAAAATATGGTACTAAAACCTAACTGCTTACCGAAAAATATGGAGGTGGTAATGTAATGATTTTAGGATATTTTAGTCGAAACTGTATTAATCTGCTCCGTATATATAGATATACTAAAATTATTGATCAATATATATACAAAGATATATATAAGAAAATTGTTTCACCTCATGCAATAAATAAAATGCTTCGTGGATAGATATACCATCAAGAAATAAATCCCAAACACATAGACAAAGGCAAATCTTCAAAAAGAGTAAAGTATGTGTTTTGAAGTTGATATCCCAATGAACTGGCTTAGCTGAGACGATATGCTATTGATTATTTAAGGAAACATATTGATGGTCAAATATAAGACATCAAGCTTACAAATTATGCTAATTTATTCAGAAAAGTTAAAGAAATATTGCACTTAATTCTCATTAATGTTTGCATTAATTTAGTTGACTTTATGCCTCGTAGATAGGAAGCCGATCTTGATTGTAAAGATTGTCCTACATAATAGAATTTCGATATAATGATTTTACATTTCTTACAAATTTTGATCAAATATTATAAAAAAAAAACTTTTCTTTATCGTTAAAAAAAAATCTACTCATTAAAAATAGTTATTTTTTAATCAATTAAAATACGTTGATTAAATTGATATTGATATATTCGACGAATATTAATACATTCGTTCAAAAATATATTCGACGACTATTGATATATTCGTTCAAAACATGAAAACATTTTAATTGGTATATAGTATGTTTGCTTTAGTAAAGTATGTGCTAAAAAATAGGTAAAGTTGAATTTAAATAGTGACTTTAAATAGCATGTAATTGCTATTTAGAAAAAGAAAAAAATATACATATTTAGTTAAAAACAACTTTTTATTTTTTCTGCATTGATTAAATTTTTTTAATCAAATTAAAAAACCAGATTTCGGAAATTTAGTGTTCAGCCATCATTAAAACAATATGAAAAAAATTTTCTATGATTGAAAGTAGCCATTTTTATACCTTGACTAATAAATAACTAGAAACTTACAACCAGGACCGTCGCGAAGGGGGGTGTAGAGGGTGTCCCCCCCAAAAAAAAAAAATTGTCATATAAGCACTCGAGTTGACACATTGAGCAAGTTTTGAACTATAGTTGGCAAATTGAAAATATTGACGACATTTTTTTTTTGGTGTTTCTAGTTGGTAAAAAAATACATACACCCCTCCCCCCCATGGAAAACCTCTTCGGGACGGCCCTGCTTACAACTGAAAAACTTGGACAGAGGCATTGGTAAAATGCGGGTGTGTTAGTTGAATTTTGATCAACTTTTTAAGCCTATACATTTTTGTTCAATTTTTAATTTGTTAAAAACATAAGCAAAAAGTTTAATTAAAAATTAACTTTATTTACAATTGGTTGCTTTTGACAAATTAATAAAAAGTCTGTTTTACTGGTTTATACCGTTTATTCATTTCACAAAAATCTAATGCAAAACCGACCTTTTTTATAACATATAAGAGGATACAAATAAAACGAGTTTGAATATAACAAGTTGAAAATAATGAGTTGAAAATACAGAACCGTCGATATAGGGGGGCCGAAAGCACGTCCCCTTCCCCACTTTTTTTTCTTAAATCGAAGATTGTGCTCCTCCACTTTGAAACTCGTGTCCTCGGCTCTGAAATAACTACGAAAATAACGAATTGAAAATAACTACGAATAAAACAAACTTGAAAATAACTTTCTTTGGGGGTGGGGGGGGGGGGGTTTCTTTCCTCTCTTCCCTATACACAGGCCTTTCATTAGGTTTGGTTGCATAAATTTATGGAGATGAATCAGCATGCAGTATATTGTATGCTCAGGTTCTTTGTGCTTTTAAAAAAACTTTAACCTAACCTTATGTCTTTTGTAATTGAAACAGAAAACAATGTATTTAGATAACGTTAATTGTTTACTGCCTATTTTGCAGTGTTTGATTTTTCAGCCTAACTTTTAATAAAATAGATTTAAAGCATAAATCAACAGTATTATAGACAATTAAAAAATAGCAGTAACAATAAAATAACGATTCATTGGTAGAATTATTACTTCTATATAGACCATTTCCTTGAAAACTGGTTATTTTTCAACGCATGCGTGCTGTTATTAATTTTCGTCAATAATGGCTTATGAGAGAAAAATAACTTTGGAATAAAATTTAAATATGACTTTCCAATTAATTACATTATAGTTAAAAAGCATTGACAATCAAAAGGAGTTGTCGGCTACTGAATAAATTAACACTTGATTTTAAACAAATCCTAAATATATAATATAAACTCAAATAACAGAAATTTATATAAAATATTTATTCGAATGTTATAAGTTACACGAAACAATTTAGTGTAAGAAAAAAAAAAATAAAAAAAAAAAAATAAATAAAAAAAAGGAGAAAAAAAATCTGACTGCTATAAATTATTATTTATAAACTTTGAAAAAAAAAAAATTATGGTTCTTTGATGTATAGTACCTGATATTTCGAATATGATATATGTTTTTTAAATTTCTGTTATTAAATGCCAATTTAGACTATTTTAGTCATTGTCAAATAAGTAGCTTGGTATATATTAAACTTTGATGTTCAGCAAGTAAGTTCAAAGGTTCGTTTAAGTTGTTGTGTATAAATGCTACCTTAATACTTTAAATACAGCAATGCATTTTTGAAATTTAACTTTGCATATAAAATCTGTTATCAATTGATTTTTATATGAAAACATTAATAACTGGTTCTGTTTCTTAATGAAAATAGTACTTCAAAGCATCAAAGGTTTTTAAGCTATTAAAATTTAAAAGGTTTAAAGCTATTAAAATTTCAATTTTAATTTACAAATTTTGGTAATAGTAAAAGCTATATTTTGTTCTTGTAAATAAAATAGATTATTTAAATAGAAAATTATATAGGAATATTTAAAAGGGGTAATAGTGAAACATTTTTTAGATTAATCTTGATTCATATTCCAAATTTTGAATTCTTTGATAGATTCTAGGTAAAATGAATTACATAATAATTAAAATATTTTTTAAAATTATCATTGTCAATTATAAAAGTTTTTTCCCTAATTACAAAAAAAAATTTTTAAAATAAAGTTTTGCAGTGGTATGACAAATGACTTACATCGAGATAAAGTTGATGATTTTATAAGCATATTTGCCAATTTATTTAATTTAGGTGAAGGAAAGCATGCAAAAATTAAATTATATATTTTTTTGTAAATAAAGTCTGATTAGTTCTCCTTGAAGCTGTTATTAATTGTAGTTTTTAGTAAACTATTTGTTATAAATTAGGTCTATACTATCGAAGCTAAAAAATTTTTTCTAATCAGATTCAACTGTAATGGCTTTAAGCCGTGGAGGATTTGAAACTCAATTTAGTGGAATAAATTCGTAAGTATTCTTATGTTTTTTGTAAAAAATTTTATATAGTTTATATATACAATATGAAAAATTTCAATTGTAACTAAAATAGACTAAAATTAATTTAGTTATTCAAATATTGGGAGAAAGCCTCCAGATCTATCTCCACGTAAGACAAGTTTTATTAACTTTTGTTATTATTTAAAAGTTATATACTGTTAATAATAATAGATATTTTTATGTTTTATATATAGATATCGATTATATATAGATAGTTATAATTATAATCATAATATTGCACTAATATTGTTTGCTACTCAGGATAATATTTAATTTATATTTATTGTTGCATAGTTATAATATAATGCTTTTAAAAGTTCTTTTAAGTTTAAAATTTTTGTTTACGTACATATTATGATTCATCTGAAATAAATTTAATATATTTAGCTTATTTTAAGAAAAATTAATGTTTCCAAAAACTGACTGTAAGTCAATATACATAGGCTAAAAAATCTATAGTATTTGGGTTGAGCTGGGTCTTCATGCACTAGCTACTACTTCAGCAAACAATAGATGCACCACCAACAAAAAAAAGTTAAAATTTAATCAAATATTTTCTGATACTTGAGCAAGTAGAGAAATCACTGCTAAGCTTGCATTATTGCCATTACCACTGATGAAATTTTTTTTATGGTTATGTTGTTCTAGTGTTTTATACATGCAGATTTTATAGCTACATGATTCAAAAGTTTACCAAAACTGTCAATATTGTGAGTAAAATTGTTGAAGATTACAGCAAAAAAATTAGTAATTTTTTGATTACTAAAATAGCCAGCAAAAAAAAACAACCCTGAATTTAGTGTAGGAGAAAGATTTCCTTTATCTTTTGATGAATGGTTATCACTACATAACTATTGTTACATAAATATTATTTTACATAAAATTGTCAGTTCTGGAGTTTAAAACCTAATTTGTATAACAGGATCACTGCCTGCATATAAGTTTATTGAGCTATTTAAAGCAAAAGCTTGCTGAGCGTGACTGTCAGAAAAAACATGAAAAAAGTTTAAAGATTATTACGTCTAAATCAACAGTTATGTTTTGTGCTCTGCAACTGTTTGTTTCTGAATTGTTATATCAAAAGCAGGATATAGAATAATAGATTCACAATTTTATGAAGACAGACAATCAGTGACTCTTGCAAAAATGAGAATCTTTCTGACAACCAAAAACTGGTTGATCTATAATTTTCTGTATCACAATATATTAAAATCTTTTTTGCATCAATTTCTTGCAATGACTAGGAAAGCATTTTTTAAATTCCTAGTATTACAAGACAGCAAGAAATGTGGTAGATTGTAGTGACTTACATTTTACCAGTAGCAGAGTAATTGTGAGAATTCTTATCCTGATCTCACCTGAATAATATATGAAATAAATAAAAATGAAATAAGATAAATTTTTTTTTAATGTAAAAAAATATAATTAAAAAAAAATTAAATATATATATGTTTCTTGAAATTAGTTTTAATTTAACTTTTTTTTATTTATAATTTAGCGGGAAACAGTTATACATCAAATTTTATGAGCAGCAATAATAAAGTTGGTTTTTTTAAAAAAGATGAAAATGAAGGTGATGGTGATTCTTTTTATGGAAAAAATTTTTTGCAAAGAAATAATAGTTCCAGTGATTCAGTAAGTTTTTTTTTTCTTTTATAAAATGTATGTTATAAGTATTTAAAAATATTTAATAATGCCTTATAACTTCACACACACACACACACACACACACACACACACACACACACACACACACACACACACACACACACACACACACACACACACACACACACACACACACACACACACACACACACACACACGCACACACACACACACGCACACACAAACACTCACACACACACACAAACACACACACACACATACACACACATACACACACAGATTTTCTAACCGATAGCATTATAATTTTTTTATCCTGCATTATGATAATAATTAAATAATAAATTAACTAAACTTTATGCATTACTTTGAATTTTTTTTGAGAAATTATTCATTTTGACTTTGTTTACAGGCATTATTGTTTATTATTAAGATGATGTTTATAAGCTTTAATTTAACAGCTGAATGTACTTATACTTTTATTACCAGAATGACAAACTTGGCCGCTGCGCTATTTATATTTTTATTACCTTAACAAACAAGGCCGCTGCGCTGAGAAACAAGTTGAAAGCGGTGTTACCAGAGACATGGTAGGGATCGAACATTGCAAAATAAAATTATTTTAAAAACAACTTAATTATCTAAAAATAGTTTAGATATCTAAGCAACATATGATTGTTGTTTAGATATCTAAGTAAACTGCTTAATTAAATTTATTCTTGTCTTGATAAGAAGCTAAAACTCTCTGATTGCTTGGAGGGGGCATTTGAGCTTGAAAAGGATCTCACTTCTGCCACAGCATGGAGCTCACAGTGGCGGGTTAACTTTAATTAAGATAAAACCCAATTTTTTTCAGCCAATTGTTATCGCAATAATTTAGATCTTCCTATATTTATGAACGGTAATGTACTTGATGTATGATCTACCCTTCATATTCTAGGATTAATTCTTACTTCTGATCTTTCATGGAAACCATATATCAAATCCATTGCAAAATTAGCATCCGCTAAGGTTGCTAAACTTTATCATGCTTTCTTACTCTGGATTCTATTCTTTATCTCTTTAAATCTTAAATCCATCTTTGTATGGAATACTCTTCCCAGATCTGGAGCGGATCTTCCAATGATGTCCTTTCTCTTATAGACAAGGTGGAAAAACTGATTATATAGGTGACCTGCTCTTGCAGCCAACCTCCAACCATTATCACATTGCCGTAATGTTGCTTCTCTTTCTCTTTTCTACAAATACTATAATGGGCACTGCTCTAAAGAGCTAGTGTCTCTTGTGTCATTTACTAAAATTCATTCTTGTGTTACATGTCATTCAATTAAGTCTCATTCTTTTATTACTATTATTTCTAAGTGCTCCAATCTAAGCAATCTGACGTCATACTGAAAAAGCCTGCTGCTGGGGGCTTCAGTACATACATAGACTGACAAATAGCCTGACTTGCAGTGGAGTGCTGCTACATCGACTGAGGGTTTGGGATGGGGAAGCAATCGTTTCTTTCATTACTCTTAATTTTTTTCTGAAAATGTTGTATGCTATAAAGATAAGCAAAACTAGTGAGCAAATGCTTATCTAAATTCGCTATAGAAGATTTATATATATATATATATATATATATATATATATATATATATATATATATATATATCTTTAGTGTTGATATCGTGTATAAGAGTATATATTACATTAGGGTCATTCCATGTCAAAATATCCAAAAAAATCAAAAAATGTCACCCCATGTTTGAGATTTTGCTAATTTTTTTTATATGTTATAGGGTTTATGAAAATTAGGAAATTTGAAATTTGGAACCTCCAACCCCTTACAGTTCTTGAGATATTCAGGTTTCAATTTTCTTATTTATGCTGACTCAGCATTTTTTGCAAAATGCATTTTTTTCATTAAATATCAATAATTAATGGACGTAATAAGGCATCATTCTGAAATTTGGTTCATAGACAATCTTCCATATAGCGGATACAAATATTGAATTAAAAAAATTTTTAGACCACGTTAAGTACATATAAATTGAATAATAATGGCATATATTTTGGGGTATTTTGAAAGTCAAAATTGTGATGTCACCTTGATAGTTTTTTTTTAGGCATTACTATAACTTACAATATAGGTATTAAACATCGCTATTAATTAAAAATATATTATTGCATTTTTTGACTTTTCTAAATTCAGCCTTTTAAGTAAAGCCTTTTACTAAATTCTTTACTAAATTCAGCCTTATAAGTAATTTATTGCTAATTTAATAATGAAAAAATTAGCATTATCTTAATTTCTGGTTGTAAAAAGTAATTTTAAAAGTCATTTTGAAGGCAATAATAAATGTATATAAATATAAATTCTAAATTTTTTGTACCTGGCATAGGCTCCCCCCCTGCCTTCCCAAAAAAAAACTAAAATTTTTCTAATTTTGTAAAAAGTTAATTTTAAAGTCATTTTGAGGGCAATGATAAATTTTTACATGTTTATAAATATTTAGTAGCTGGGGTAGGCTTCCCCCTCATCCGGCCTACCAGGAAAAATGTACATATAGATTTTTTGCTAATTTTGTTATACCAATAAAATAAGGATTGCTTTGTTAAAATTTTTCTATCAAGCTTTCGAATGCCAGCTAGGTTGGAGGTCGCAATTAGGCATATTACCAAATCCTTCCAAATTTTTTTTTAATGAAAATATATAAAGACAAGTTACCAAGAGATTTTTATTTGTGTGGCCAAATTGTGCTAATTACACATACAATTATATTTTAACTATATTTAAAAAAATAATGTACAAGTATATAAATAATGACGCAATAGAAACTTTTTCTAGAAATCTTGATTATTTTGTTCAATAATTTTTGCCAACTCAATTTCTGAAATTTTGTACACACGACCATTTGTTGTAGATGGCGGATCAATGGTACATAAAATATGATTTGACGGGACCCAACACATATCTTCTCGTGCAGGCCAAGAAAAACTATAATTCCAATCCACCAAAAGCTGTCATACATGCAAGCTAGATAGTCCATATGATTATAAATAACTTGCTGCACAACCAGCTCATTTGGTATCTGCACAAGGTTAAATGTCTGAACATCATTTTGTTGACTTATCCTTTTAAAAGAAGTTGTATATTTATCAATTGGTATAAAATGGTGAAAGGATCTTGTTCCTGGCAAGGTTCTTCCCATAGTAAACCTTGGTTGCAATGATGACCGTACTTCATTTATTTCTATTTTATAAACTAAAATAAATTGAATGTTTTTTATATTGGTTACACAAAATTTAAACTTCTTATCTACCTCCAAAATCCGTCCAGTCACTGTTCTTTTTAAACTTGCTTGTGCAGTTAATCATTTTACTGTGCCGCCAATGCCATCACAAGCAGACTTACCATGGCTTGTAGCAAAAAATACCCATTCAGCATCAATATCAAAGTTTTTAAAGTTTTTATATTGTGCTGCACATCCATCAGTGAAGTATTTAACATTACTAATTTGTAGAATGTTTGCCTTAATGTAATTGGTAATGAGCTGTTGTATTTTATATACAAAGTATACATCGTGCTCAGCGTCATCAGAAGGGATGCAAAATGACTTAAATAGCAATTTATCATTTGATTTATAGTAAATAATAATAGGGTGAAGTATACATTTTGGTTTATTCCAGTGGTAACTTTGCACCTCATCCTGAACAATAAATTGGAAGTTCTCAGCAAAGTCACCCAATACTATACACTCATTTTGATTTAATAACTCTTTACAGTTTTTGAGGTACTTGTCTTGACTTTTAGCTATAAGTGAATGAGATGTTAATTTATCTATTTTATTGCATATAAGGTCGATAACATCTTCAATATTGATTTTTTGATTGATCAGCGTAGTTCTATCTGTATGCTGCTATTGGTTAATTGTTATTTCTTTATCGCTGTTGTCAAACTTTGCTGTTAAGAATTCTTTTAAAGCAGCAATACAGGGCATAACGGACATCGATGTAACATGCACTTTACATTATCCCTATTGCAAACAATCATTTCCATCAAATCTCTATAGTCTTTGTCAATTTAAGAGCATCAGTTAACAACTTAACATTCTGAGGATAGGTACAGACACAAACACAGTGGGTGCCAGAGGAGTTTGTGGTTATACACTATCTTGGGCGAAGGCTGCAAAACTTAGAAAATCCGACGTTTAAGTTAGAATGTTCAGATTTAAATGCTACATATAGTTCCTTTAAATTAATCAATATTAGTCTTTTTTGCATGTGTTGTCTGTAGCCTATACTGACAAAATCTTTTTTTCCAGGCAGCATTCGTGTGTACTCGTCACTTTGATAAAAGCTATGAACAAGATCAATGGTTGCGTGGGAAAGCGACTTTCCTTTTTTTGATGATGGTTTATGCAAAATTCCATGTTTTTTTTTAGCTTTTCTAGCTTCTCGTATTAGGTAATTAGATACATTAAAAAATTCTGCAGACTTTGCGAGTGACCATGATTCTGGAGTTAGTGTTAATATCTGAATTTTTGCGGAGTATGATGTCACATTTTTTATTTTATCTTTTAATTCATTTAAAAGTAAGTATAGATCGTCAATTTGGTTATCAATTGAAGAATGTAATGGTGTACGAGATAGTGTCAATGTAATCATAGGATCAATATCATAAGCTTTATTTATTTTTTTTGCTGTTGCTTCAGTTATTTGATCAAATTTTCTTTTGGCAGCTGGTAATCTTTGGTGTTTTGGAATTGATTTAAGCTTAATAGGTGACACACCTATAGATTCAAGACTTTCATTGAGAGATGCATGTTGTTCTTGTTCAGGCTCAATCCTACTATAGCATTGATCAATTGATTTTAATTCTTTATTTATACAATGTACCCTTTTGTAACAACTACTGCATACTTTCCACCTAGGTACAGCAGCAATGTCTTGTGTTTTTAGAGTTATTGCCATTAATAGCGATATCTTCACATTTCCTATGAAAAAAAGGAAATAATCATTTCTAAAAATTAATATTAACTCACCATCATTCTAAAGAACAAATGAGTATAATTGTTACTTTATAAATATACCTAATATTTTTTAAATTTATTTAATTACTATTTCAATCAAAATACTAAACTATTTCATCAAAATAATATAAAAATTACCTTTCACGTTTTTCTTTCGATTTCCATGTTTTTTAAATAGATTACAGCATTTCTGAAATTTTCTTTCAAATGCAACTCCAAAGTATTCTCTATGATAATAGCAAACTGTTGTAAACAATTTTCCACAATCAAAACCAGCTCTCCATAATAACTCTTGTTTTTCACCACTTGAAAATGCTGATAGATCTAAAAGACCTTATCTTCTTGTTAAACCTTGCTTGTGGCAGTCAACATTACATTCTAATCCAATAGAACATATATATATATATATATATATATATATATATATATATATATATATATATATATATATATATATATCCTTATAGTGTAGTCGAGAGTCTTTTAATGTAAAAAATGTCTCTTTCGACTACAATTTTAATTACCTCGTCTCTAAAGCTGTATTTGATTGTCGTCAAAATGCCAAAGCAATTAAATTAATGCGGAAGTACATTAAATTTTATTCTTTTTTAAAATTTTTTTAAAAAACCGCAATAATAACGACTAGAAAGTTTTTTTAAATTAGTGGTGTTTTTGTTTTTATTTTATTAAAAAACATGCGTAAATGTTGCTACATCGACTATCTTATGGCCTGCTGCTACAAGGGAGTGTTTCTACATCGACTATCTCATAGCCTGACTCGCAATGGAGTGCTGCTACATCGACTGACAAATAACCTGACTCGCAAGGGAGTGCTGCTACATCGACTGACAAATAGCCTGACTCGCAAGTGAGTGCTGCTACATCGACTGAGGGTTTGGTTTAGGCAGGCAGTCTATCATTTAAAAAAAAAAAAAATTAAGTTTTTAAACTTTTTCTGGTCTGGTTTATTAACGTGCTCTTTAAAACTACAGTTTATGGGAAACTCTTTCTGACTACCATGCAAAAGTATATATATACTCTTGCATGTCTCTTGCATGGCATCAAAAAAAGTTTCTCATAAACTGTAGTTTTAAAGAGCGCGTTAATAAACCAGACCAGAAAAAATTTTAAAAATTAATTTTTTTTTAATTGATAGACTGCCTGGCCAAACCAAACCCTCAGTCGATGTAGCAGCACTCTCTTGCGAGTCAGGCTATTTGTCAGTCGTTGTAGCAGCACTCCCTTGCGAGTCAGGCTATTTGTCAGTCAATGTAGTAGCATTCCCTTGCGAGTCAGGCTATTTGTCAGTCGATGTAGCGGCACTCCGTTGTGAGTCAGGCTATTTGTCAGTCGATGTAGCAGCACTCCGTTGCGAGTCAGGCTATTTGTCAGTCGATGTAGCAGCACTCCGTTGCGAGTCAGGCTATAAGATAGTCGATGTAGCAACATTTACGCATGTTTTAAAAATGTTTTTTATTAAATCAATAACAAAAACACCACTAATTAAAAAAAACTTTCTAGTGGTTATAATTGCGGTTTTTTAAAAATTTTTTAAAAAACAATTAAGTTTAATGTACTTCCGCATAAATTAATTGCTTTGACATTTCGATGACAATCAAAAACAGCTTAAGAGACGAGGTAATTAAAATTGTAGTCGTAAGAGACTTTTTTTACATTAAAACGTTCTTTCGACTACACTATATGGGTATATATATATATATATATATATATATATATATATATATATATATATATATATATATATATATATATATATATATATATATATATATATATATATGATTAAAAGGTAATTAAATTTTATTTTATTTACCAATCATTTAGTATAATTCATAACATTCATTAATTAGTTAAGTAAATATAAAATTCCTGCAAGTAACAGGAAACTAATATTTACAACATGAAATTCTTGTTAAACTAATCCAATAGAACACCTTTCCATCATTTAAACTTTTTAATCTATTCAAAAAATCTGATTTTGAAATATTTTACTAAATAAATTTATTTAGAAATACCATGAACATTATTTGGTTTATGAAAAACTATTATTGTGTCATATTATATTAAGTCATATAATATGACACATCCTAACAAATAATTTGTTAGGATGTGTCATATTATATGACTTCCTTATATCTATGATTAAAAGGTAATTAAATTTTATTTTATTTACCAATCATATAGTATCATTCATAAAATTCTTTAATTAGTTAAGCAAATATAAAATTCCTGCAAAGTAACAGGAAACTAATATTAACAGAATGAAGTCTAAACAGAAGCAATAAAATAAAAATGGGGGAGGGGGAAGCTTCCCTCAGGTACCAAATATTTATAAATACATATAGATTTATCATTGCCCTCAAAATGACTTAAAGAAAAACTTTTTACAAAATTAGAAAAATATTTTATTTTTTGGGGGTGGGCTGGGGGGGGAGCCTACCCCTGGTACAAAAAATTTAAAATTTATATTTATATACATTTATTATTTTCAAAATGACTTTAAAAATTACTTTTTACAACCAGAAATTAAGATATAGCTAATTTTTTCATTAATAAGTTAGCAATAAACTTTATGCTGACTCAGTATTTATATAAGCTTTACTTTAAAGGCTGAATTTAGAAAAGTCAAAAAATGCAATAACATATTTTTAATTAATAGTAATGTTTGATACCTATATTGTAAGTTATAGTAATGCCTAAAAAAAATTATCAAGGTGATATCACAATTGTGACCTTCAAAATACCCCAAAATAAATGCCATTATTATTCAATTTACATGTATTTACATGGTACATGTACATACATGGTACATGTACACATACATGGTACATGTACACATACATGGTACATGTACATACATGGTCTAAAAAATTTTTTAATTTAATATTTGTATCCGCCATATGGAAGATTGTCTATGTACCAAATTTCAGAATGATACCTTATTTCGTCCATTAATTATTGATATTTAATGACAAAAATGCATTTCGCAAAAAATGCTGAGTCAGCATAAATAAGAAAATTGAAACCTGAATATCTCAAGAACCGTAAGGGGTTGGAGGTTCCAAATTTCAAATTTTCTTAATTTTCATAAACCCTATAACATATAAAAAAATTAGCAAAATTTACGGTTTATGGTTTACTTCACAAATGATTGAAATTAAAACAAAAATGAAAATAAACTTTTTAACTTTTGATGGAATATGCTTATATGATTAAAATAATTTTGTTTATAGTTATCGAATCAAATGTCTGGTATGAATTTATATGGTAATTCTATGTCACTGTCTTCTTCAGGTAATATTTTGTATTTTTACTAAAACATAATTTATTTTTTAAGTTGAAAATATTTTGGAGGTTTCATACAAAATGGTGTTGTTTGTAATGTGTCTATAATAAATTGGAGTATTTTACCATGACATTACTATTCAAAAAACTACCTATGGTATTCCATCTTTAGATAAGTAGGTGGTTTTAAACATTAGTGAGACAAAAAGTTGAAGTGAGATTCGTTCACCAAGACAAAAACATTTCACTTGTTAGAAGAAGACAATTCACTTGTCCCACATATAAAAACAACATATGTAGATATTTACTTGATCCACATGAATAAACTGCATACCAATACTACATAAAAATCTAAAAAACATATTTTTATAAACAAATCTTTATCTTCAAAAATAAAAAAGCCATAATATGCTGATATATAGTTGAGATAATGTACATTGGGTATCTCATAGATAATAATATACAGCAGATGTACATTGGGTATCTCATAGATAATAATATACAGATGTACATTGGGTATCTCATAGATAATAATATACAGCAGATGTACATTGGGTATCTCATAGATAATAATATACAGCAGATGTGCATTGGGTATCTCATAGGTAATAATATGCAAAAAGTAACTAAAGCCAACTTTTTTGAGATTTTTGATAATTTTTTTGCATGTTTATTTAGCATTCAAAACAAAAGAACAAACAGAAAGATCCAATTCACCTAATTGGGTGTCAGGATGGGGACAAACAGGTATTTTTTTTTTTAAATCTCATAGAAATTATTTGTATTAATTTTATTGTTTTGTTTGATTGCTTAGTAATACTAATAGCTTTGGTTGTTATTTGTTCGGATTGGTTTTATATTCATAAGTAGTTTCTATGGTTATTGATATAGGATATTAAACCTTTAAACTAAGAACGATTTCGAAATCTGTAAATATCTTAGTTTTCTGATTAAACATTTTTTACATAGATCCTAATGCAGATTTGTGGAATAGATCAACTCTAGGAAGTTCTTCAAATTTAAATAAGGGTAAAACTTTTTGTAGCTAAGTTTTACAAAAATTTTAACTTTTTTTCTTTATAGAGTGAGAGACAATGCTGAAATTTTAATTTTTTTAATGTTGAGTTGTGTTAATTATTTTGTAATTGTATTTTATTTTATATTTTTTCTGTAGTTTCTGGAAATAATGGGTTTTCACAAGGATTTAGCAGCTCTGGTTTTTCAAATCTTCCAACATCTTCACGGTCTAACTCTACTAGCAGTAATTCATTATTACAACTTCAAGTAAGTTTTCAAAATAATTGATAATGGTTTATGTCTTTTACGATTACTATTTATTTTAATGTATATATAATAGTATTTTTAAAGATATATATGTAAATATATATCTTTAAAGGGACTACCAAGTCCCAAGACATGTTGTGTTCATATTAAAGAGAATGTTAAAAAAAAAGGTCTGAGCAAATTTTTTTTGATTAAAACTAATTAATAAATGTATACCAAGAAAAACAAATCTTGTTGTTTTAGTCGAAGCTCGTCTTCTCCGTTTTCTCTGGTATTTTGAGTATGTAAAATAAACGCGATTTTCCAGGTGCATTATACAGACTTGATAATTTATTCAAGCGCATTTAATTCGTAGGAGTTTTAGTGTATGACGTCATTGGAAACATTCTAGAAATTCTTTAAAAACTTTACTATTAAATTTTACTAAAATAGCTAACTATAGTTACTTCACATTAAAAAATATTTTTTTTATAATCCAATAAAATAACACGCTGTGTCTCATCGGTTACGCCCCAAACGGGGAAGGGGGGCAATAACTTTAGGTGTTCTTTTTTTAAAATTTAAGATTAGTTTTAAGAATAATTTTACCAAATTTAATTTTTTTTTTTCGTTATGCCTAACATTTAAAGTTTTTTTAAATAATGAGACCCTTATGACATTTTTTATAGGGAGGGAATCTCCGACCTACTTTCCATTGCACTGGTAGCTATAATTTAGATTTTATCAATGTTTAATGTTTTTATATGATATATAATACTTATAAAGATACTGATTAAAAGTTGTTTTGTATTGTTTTGTAAATTTTTATTAGAAACTTTTATTTCGAAACTTTTCTTATGGTATTATCTATGGCCGTCACCACCGGTGTTGACGGCCCCCCAACTTTTTTTTAGGATAACTATATTTTTCTTGAAATGTAAGATTTTTTTTTAAATCGGGGAGTGAGCCTCTTTGAAACTTTCCCCACTTTGAAGGCCGTGTTGACGGTCATGTTATCACTTTAACTGAAGTTTAACTTATTTAGCCGCGTGTCTGAATATATTTAATTAAATTTGTTTTGTAAAACTTGTAGGATATTTTTGATTTTAAAAATTGGAATGAATATTTTTGAAGATTGCAAGAAAGTGTTATTATTGAGTTGATGATTCGACAAATAGAATAAATACAAGTCAATCTTTTATTTGTTATTCACGATGTTGTTTTTTAATTTGAATGCAAATTCAACATAAATTCAAAAATACTCAATGTAATGCATTTTTTAAACGTGCACTGTGACCGCATTCACTATGTGGACCATCTGTCTTGAATTTTTACCAAGTTATATTTATTATTACATTGAATAAAAAACAGCTGTGTGTAATTTACGTTAAATGTAAATTTTATAAATAGTTACAAAAATATTTATTTTATTAATTGTTCGTTGTTTTTTTACAAATCTAACAAACAATTAATTAAACCAAGCACTAAGAAAAGATATAAAAATGAAGAATATACTAATAAAATATATAATTTGTAATTAACTTTCAAAATTTTGACAATTTAAAAAATATATATTATAAAACATTTATTTTTGTAAACAAATGATAATAGTTTAAAAGTTTTACGGCTTTACAGATGTGGCTCCGAGAATGAGCCATAATATTAAAGTAATAGTTCATTTGATAATATATTCTTAAAAAAATTTATGCTAAATATCTCAAAACGCAACAAATCGTAAATAATAAAATTCCTAAAACATTTCAACAGAAAACTCTTGAACTTTATTAAGCTTAGTCAGCGTATTTTTTGAACCAATAGAATTAGTTTGTTCGAAAATTTGGCGGGTTTTTAGTGTTCGCGAATATTCTTTTTATTCTTCCGCAAGATGTTTTAAGTTAATTATGTTTCCATGCATGTCTGTAAAATAAAAATTAATATATATTTATTTTTTAATTTTTAAGTTCCCGCCATAATATATATTGGATGTTATAATGCAAACATAAATAATGAAATAAGATCACCTCAATACCAAAAAATACATTTTAGAAAACCAGAGAAAAAATGCGTTAATATATATTTTTTTAATATTTACAAAGTAAATTAATGAAAGCGCATTATTATTTACGTTAAAAATTATTTAATCTAATATTTTGAAAGAAAAACTTATAAGAAAAGAAATCAAAATACACGTAGTCTAGACGATAATTTATAAAAAGTTGCGCAAATAAAATACTATTCTGTTTTTTATTTTATTTTTGTTTTTAATTTTAATTTGTATTTAATTTTATTTTGTTTTACAAACACATTTTAGAACTTTAAAATACAATAAAAATGAATATGATTTGGAAATTGTATGTAAAAAAAAACAATCGATGTTTTAAACAAACAAAAAAAAAATCTATGACGTCATGCACTAAAACTTCTATGAATTAAGCGCGCTTGAATAAATTATCAAGTCTGTATAATGCGCCTGGAAAATCGCGTTTATTTTACATACTCAAAATACCAGAGAAAACAGAGAAGACGAGCTTCGACTAAAACAACAAGATTTGTTTTTCTTGGTATACATTTATTAATTAGTTTTAATCAAAAAAAATTTGCTCAGACCTTTTTTTTTAACATTCTCTTTAATATGAACACAACATGTCTTGGGACTTGGTAGTCCCTTTAAAAACATAACGCTAATTTAGTTTCTTTATATAAAAAAGCTGCATTTTTTCAATTTAGAGAAATAACTATGTAACTGTTTAGAGACAACGTTCTACAAGTTTTATTCATCACAAAATTCATTATTTGTACACGAAAATTAATAAATTAATCACATGTATTAAAATAATCACATGTATTAAAATTTCCTTCTAGACAAAACAAGTGCAACTTCACAAAATGTTGACCAAGCTGTATTTTGCTATCAATATTTCGTGGCGAATCCTTTGTTGTTGATCACAGCCTTACATCTTCGAAGCATAGATTCCATCAGGTGATCAATAAAACTTTGTGCAAATGTTGCCCAGGCCTTTTGGATTTGTTCAAACGGTTGATCCTTATTACGAACACCTTCATGATTAATTCTGCGGTTGACAATCTCCCACAGGTTTTCGATAGGGTTGAGATCCAGAGACTGAGGCGGCCAATTCATCACCGATAGGTGGTTGTCTTAAAACCACTGCTTGACTACTTTTGCAGTGTGTTTCAGATCCTTGTCTTGCTGAAAAACCCATTTTATTGGCATATTCCATTCAGCATGAGGTAACGTAACATCTTTCAGGATATTTTTATACCTGAAACGGTCCATTATTTCATCGATTCGATGTATTGGACCTAAAATGTTATCAGAAAAACACCCCCAGACCATTACATTGCCTCCACCATGTTTCACGGTCTTATGGCAGTAATGTAAATCGAGGCGTTTTTCGGCCGGTTGACATACACGGCAAATGCCATCCCTTCCAATGATATTGAACTTTGATTCATCACTGAACAGGACAGTTCGCCATTTCTGCACATTCCAGTCAATATGAGATGAGCAAACAGGAGTCTTTTCTTCTGGTTCTTTAGTGAAATCAGTGGTTTCTTTGCATGGTGTCGTGAAAACAATCCGGCTTCAGCAGCATGTCATCTGATTGTTCGATCTGATACAGGCAGCTCTAATTGCTTTTGTATCTTGACTGATGATATCCAGGGATCCTTCTTGACGGATCTGACAATCATAGAATCCTCTCTAGAAGTGGTGGAACACGGTCTTTCGCCTTTGTTATCTGCTGCCAACTTCCCCGTAGAACGATATTTGGAACATAGTCTTGATACGGTCCATTTTTTCACACGATATTTATCACAAATACTTTTTTGTGACATTCCACATACGTAATCACCAATAATTTTCTTTCTTAGTTCCAATCCAAGACTGTTGGGAACCATTTTTGCACTTGAAGTCATAAAAATAATAAAAATAAATAATCATGCTTCTCAAGGCTTACCGTGTTACATTTACCTTGTGATGATACAATAATGCTCTGTGGAACACAACGTCTTGGTTGGATGTGGACTGTATTGATGTAATGAAACACTTGTTGTATTTCACTTCTTGTATTGATGTTCTTCGATAAAACACTTTGATAAAACTCACTTAGATAAACTGTTTTGATAATACTGACTGATTGACTTCCATATATTGACTAAATTACATGTCAGTTTACATGTCTCTTATATAGTAAAATGAATCTGTGTGAACCTGTTTTGGAAGATTCTAGATGCTTCTTTTTAATACTTCTGGGAGCTTTTGGATGCGTCTGGATGCTTCTGAATGTTTCTGGGTACTTCTGGATGCTTCCTGATGCTTCTTCTGGAAACTTCTGGAAGCTTCTGCATGCTTCTGGAAACTTCTTGAAACTTCTGGATACTTTTTTTAATTATTAAAAAACTTCCGTGACGTTGACACGGACCAGACTTAAGAAAATGAAACAAACCAAAAAAGTTGCACTTGTTTTGTCCGCTGCAAAATGGCACTTGTCAACGAAATTCTGCTATACTACCACAGCAAACACCTGAACTGTTTGCTGTGGTAGTATAGTTCGTTTCATTTTTAAGACATGTAAAATTAGGAACACTTTTTAGCATTGTTCGATGTTGGTTGCAAATGTTTTGTCCAATACTGTATATATATATATATATATTATATATATATATATATATATATATATATATATATATATATATATATATATATATATATATATATATATATTTAAACAATTTTAAATGTATTCTACAAAAAGAGTGCTCAATATTCTTAAAAGAACAGAGCAATTACAAATTATATATACGAATATATATACAAATTATATATTACGAATTTATATATATATATATATATATACATATATATATATATATATACATACATATATATATATATATATATATGTATATATATATATATATATGTATGTATATATATATATATATATATATATAATATATGTATATATGTATATATGTATATATGTATATGTATATGTATA